AAGTGTTCATACCCCCCCCCCCCCCAATTAGATTTCGCATCATACAATCACTTGAATTATAAAATACGATTTTAGATATTCTAAAACTAAAATATGGCTAGTTTGATATCATTTCCCGCTAAAACAACATTTCTCCGGTTATAGTAGAGCCATGAATGAACCATTGCCGGTTGGTGGAAGGATCATTGCCACCGACGACTTGTCTCCTATGTATTTCTTCGGCCCACCACTTAGTTAAACACTTGATTTTGCATTCTTTATATACTTTGATTTTATAATAACTTATATCGCTTTGAAATTGTGGGATATAGATAAGATTAATTCTTCTTCTTCTTCTTTATCAATCATCTCTATTTTTTTCTGTTTAAAGGTTCCATGACCCCACACACCATTGGCCCTCTCTCGTTTCTCTTTACTTTCTTCATTTTTAACTTTTGCTTCTGTCATGTTTCACTATACATAATGCCTTTTTCTTTTACAATCAATAGATTTCATTGAAAGTTTAGAAATATCTCTTAACATAATATCACTGATTTTCAAAATTAAACTATATATACATCTAACCACATTTTAATACATATGAAAGTACTATAAATACATTCCGATAAACAAATGTATTCATCACAATTATAAGAGAGCTCAACAAATTGATTAGAAATAGTAATATGCTATATAATTTGTTGATATTTACACTCCAATGCATGCAAACATGCTCAGTTTTTTTTTTATAAATGCATAAACTTTCTAATAAATAAAAGAACCTAATAGTTTTTTTTTTATCAATTAGAACCTAATGATTAACTACAAGAATAGCAGTCTAGCAGATGTGATCGTCACGAAAAATTCGTCTGTTTTCTTTTTGTATATTCCATCCTTTCTTATGAAGTAAAATATAAATTGAAAGGAACATAAAAAGTACGCAAAAATTTCAGTGAATGCTAACAGAGACTAGCTTCAGATATAACTCTTGTGACGTGTGAGTCACGTAACAAAGCCCAGCCATACGATTTTTTTCTGTACTAGATTAGTATAACGATTTTGATACCATCGTTTGTTTCTACCGCCTAATTTAGTACTACTACTAAACTACGATGTTGATCCATGAAAAAAGAAAACTAAAATACGATGAGTATTAATAGTACACAACGAATACCAAGAAAAATACTAAATTTCTTACTAAAGATAGTAAATAACACGAACTCTCACATCAATATCTCATCAACCGCACGTACCCGCCCACGTGTGCCCATCCCCGTTATATTCCAAACAAGGTATTACAGTAGAGACGCACGCAGCGAATAAAAAGATCAAACAATGTTGGTGACAGATCCACATCTCACAGACCATCTCTACCTCTTTCACTTCACAGTCTGTTAACTCTATCAAAATCAGTCCTATACGACACGACGTCGTTCAGTCCCTTCTTTTTCCTCCTCTCTTCTGCTCTATATAATGAAACTCTCTGTATTTTATTAAAAAAATCAACGTTTATTAATCACAGAACCATCAAACAGGAAAGCTCTCTCACTCTCAAGAAACACAAGCTCCCATGGGCTTTCCCGTAGGTTACACAGAGGTGTTCCTCCCGAACCTCTTCGTACAAACGCTTTCCATACTCAGTTTCACCAGAACCTTCGTCTCCTCTCTCTTCCGCTTATTGGGCCTCTCCGACTTCCTCGAAACGGATCGAACCTGGCCCGACTACACATCTTACCCGACCCGAATACCCGAACTCCGCTCACCTTTCTCGGCCTTACTCATCCGCGAGATCCTACCGGTTATAAAGTTCGAAGAGGCGACGAGCTCCGGTGAAGATCTGCCGGAAAACTGCGCCGTGTGTCTCCACGAGTTCGAAGGAGAGGAAGAGATTCGATGGTTGAGAAACTGCAGACATATATTCCATCGGAGCTGTCTCGACCGTTGGATGGATCATGATCAGAAGACGTGTCCTCTTTGTAGAACACCGTTTGTTCCAGATGAGATGCAAGAAGAGTTTAATCAACGGTTATGGAGCGCTTCTGGTGTTCATGACTTCGACAGTGAGTACTGTCCCGTGTCGGAACTTTAGAAAAAAAGCTACTTTTGTCCCAGCCCCTCCCTCCATCCTTGTGTCTTTTGTACTTTTCACCACTGTACTTTTTAGTTGTGTCTTTTTTCACCTTTGCTAACATTAGATTTGCCACGCTTTTATGTGTGTGTGTATATATGCATATGAATGTGATGAGCAATAAGCATTACTAAATTTTAAAAGAGATTAAAAAGTAGATTTTTACTTTCTAAATAAGAATAAGAATGATAAAAACCTATTCCAGATTAAAAGATAACTAAAATAGATCTCGATCCAACTGATCTGAATTACAGTTTTATTCTCTCTAAATTATTTCTAATCCAATCAAATGGTTTATTTGCAGACTGAAACTTATAACCTTAAATTACTATTTATAGTAACTTATGCTTTTTTACTGGGAGTAGTTAGGATCATGTCAGTACTTGTCTCTGACGAGTGACCACATCTCTATTTTTTCTTCAAAGTCCAGTCTCAACTTTTATATCATTTAGATTTACCCAGAAGAAATTCAATGGATCATGGTAATGCGTAAAGGCAGAGTTTGGTAACATGACTGGTCTGCAGATCGATCAGTCAATTTCAAACGTAATGACTAACTAAACAAGTTTTATTTTAATTTAAAAATATAAAAACCTCAGAAAACTGGAAACCCGATCATTTCTAGATCATTATTCTGATTCATGTCATTTATGGTTAAGAATCAAAATCGTGTTTAAAAATGACACCCATAAAATTATATCTTAAATGCATAGCCTTAAAGATACTAGTTGCATATTCCCCGCGCAAGCGTGGAGCCGTGATCATTATGTTTGCATGTATTTTTTTCGATTGTTGTTTTAGTGGATTCTTCTAATGTCACCAAATAATAATGAAATGGAAAGAATGTAGTAAGAGTGTAAAGTGAAAATATTATATATCTAATGTGTTAAATATTATTTATATGCGAAGTAAGGTTTATATAAATAGTTATATTATAATATAGTTTTTAGTGTGTAATAGTAGGTGTCTATTTTTATTTTTATTTTGCTGTAAATAGTTTTTATATCGTATGCCAAAACTTGATATAGTTCTATATTTATAATATTTATATTTGTAATAAACGATTTATCAATTTGAAAATAACCTTAATTAAGTTAATATTCGTTGTTTAGGTTTCATTAAATAGGTTTTTCTATATGGTTTTTTGTAAGTTTGGGTTTTGTTCATAAATGATGTGGCATTTTTATCTACGGCGTCATCGACTGTGGGAATCCATTCGCCGAAGTCTGGAATCGGTGGTGAGGAATGTTTTCAATGAAATTATAGTAGTTATTAAAATATAAGAGAAATTACATATTCATTTAATAAATAACGAAAATACTTAAATTTTTTTGTTTATTTTATTTTATTTTATTTCACATACAAATTTTTTGAAAATATATTAGGAATGTGTTAAATGTTATTTATATGTGAAGTAATGTTTATATGAATAGTTTGGCTATAATATAGTTTTTAGTGTGTAAAAGTAGGTATTTTTTTTTGCTGTAAATAGTTTTTATATCATAGGTCAAAAATTGATATAACTCTATATTTATAGTATTTATATTTGTATTAAACGATTTATCAATTTGAAAATAACCTTAATTAAGTTAATATTCGTTGTTTAAGTTTCATTAGATAGGTTTTTATATATGGTTTTTTGTAAGTTTGAGTTTTGTTCATAAATGATGTGGCATTTTTATCTACGGCGTCATCGACTGTGGGAATCCATTCGCCGGAGTCTAGAATCGGTGGTGAGGAATGTTTTCAATGAAATTATAGTAGTTATTAAAATTTAAGAGAAATTACATATCATTTAATAAATAATGAAAATAATTAATTTTTGTTGTTTTTTTATTTTATCTCACATACAAATTTTTTTGAAAATATATATTAGGAAATATGTGCAATGATTTAATTTTTGAGCTCTTAATTTATAATATTCAAGACTCATTAAGCCATCACGTAGCCAGCTGCGTGAGATTCACTTTTTTTGTTTTTTGGTCTATTCGTGTTTGGATTTATTTTTATTATTGTTGGGTTGAGCTATATTATAATAGGATAGTTTTAAGGCTCTTTAAGCCATCTCTTCGATAAGAATATGGATTTTAACAAATTCCTCTTCATTCTCTTGTGCTCAGCGAAGGAACTTCCTAAGCATACTTTTTCGGATCCAAACTTTTTTGTTCTTTCTAATTCTTCTTCTTGCATAGAAGAACGCAACTGTTTCAAAAACCGGGATTTTAGTAGTAGGCGGCATCCCCTCTTAGTTTTGAGTAGGTGGAACCATTCAGTTTTGCTTCTTCTCCACATTCTTAGCGGTTGATGCAGTAATTTGCCTATGATTTTTTCAACTGAAATTTCTCTCCATGACGACTGGGAGCACGATATTAATGACCGTCATGGATTAGCTGGAAGCGCAGGCCCAACTTCCTCGGGACCCCGCCGATTTATCGAGGGTTTCTCATATTGAGAGATTCTGTCTAGTGGCATTCGATCACAGAATCCATTGACAGCTGCATAAATGACTAGTATTTGTTTTTCAATTGGAAGTGCAACAGCGTGAGACTTGCTTTTTTTATTGTTTTTTATTGTTCATTTTGGATCTATTTTTAACTATTTTTGAATTTGAACTTGTTAAGTTCCAGGGATTATCCAACTATTTTGATCTTTAAAATAATAAGCCAAAAAAATATAAAAACCTTATAAACAAAAAGCCCATATGATAATAACCCAAATAAAAAAAAACAAAAATACATGATAGCTGCGTGGGTTTGAACCCACGATCTTGCATGGGTTTGAACCCACGATCTTGCATGCTTAACTAAACACCTTCTACCACTTGGCTGAAGTGTATTTTATTGTTTGTAATCACCTTACCAAAACTGTGGGTGTTTAAAAAATACCTACGGGACCTATAAAACTGCTGACGTGGCGCGTTGTGGAGCCTAGAAAGTCTACTATTATAATTTAGATTATAATATATGTTTGACAATCTCTCTAGATTATAGTATAAACATGGTTAAAACTAGAGCTTAGTGGTTGGAACCTCACGCCTCAACCTCGAAGTCTTATTAAAATGCATTAGTAGCACCTGAATCCCATCTGGAATTGGCTAGAGATATAAAGTGATGGGTTATTGTTTGCAATCTATGTCAAGTATTCTCTCTTGTCTTGAAGCAGAGGCTAGTTTTTGAATTTTTAAGTCTTCTCTCATTTTCTAGGCTAGAGGAACACAAGCCCATACACTGAAGCTTATCCTTGCACATCATTAAAGCATCTAGAGACTTGCGTTGGAGACGTGGTGTTTAGTTCAGTGTATCCTCAGGATAAGAACATTCTCAATTCTGATGGTAATGGGCCAGATATATACGGGCTAATACTTAACTCTGTTTTCTCATTGATCTAATAGACTTGTTTTTTTTTAGTTGGTGCCGACAAATGGCCAAATATACGGGCTAAAGCTTACAAGAAAAAAACTCCACAAAAAAGCCTCTTTTTTCATGGTGGGCCTGGCTCTTCTAAATTTATATGGAATAAAAAGTTATTCATGGCAATCCACAAGCTAAAATGTTTTTTTTTATTCCATTGATTTCAATGGATGTGGGAAAAGGTGAATGAAGTTAAACATATTCAGAAACAAAACTCATAGCAAAATGGAAGAGATGAAAATAAACTTAGTAAGAAATAAACTAATTAAAGATTTTTATTTGTAGACAAAGACAAACATAGGTTCAGTTATAAAAGTTGATAAAAAAAACTAGCTATAATTATGTATTTTATTAAATAATTTTGAAGTATAAAAACATTTTTTTGTACGAAAATTTAATTGTTTCCCATTTTCCTTAATATTCATCTCATTACTAAAAAAAACTGAAAAACAACAGACTTTAATTAATAATACAAATAAAATCCCCAAAAATATTAACCCTTTCTTTCTTTCTTCCTTTCTCTCTCTTATCCGCTCCTGTCTCTTCCTCTGTTCCGCCGCCGCCGTCACCCTCCTCCGTCAGATTCAATCCTCTCCTCCGCCGCCACCACAACCACTCATTACCTCCTTCGCTTGTAAGGCACGACACGCTTGTATTCGCGTATATCTATTGATTCATTCGTATCTCTCTCTTCGCGTATCGTCTCTCCATTGTATCAATTGAGTTGGGGGCACTTGTCTCTCTTTCGTTTCAAATCCAATTAGTATTCGATTTCGCGTTACGATTGTGTTTGGGCTTTAGGGTTTTTGGCGAATTCGATTGAAATGAAAGTTGCTAATAATAGGCTTACGTTAATTCATATTGGTTTACCTTCCAGATTCGTTATTGGTCTTTTGCTCCTCTTTTACCAATTTGGTGTTGGAAACTGATTGAGATCAATGCTCACTTTTTTTGCTACGTGTTGCAGAGTTGGGAAGCTTAGTTTCCTGAAGACTGGGGCTCTTCAAATCAATGTCTGAAGCTGATATGGCCATCATTAAACCTGAGGTTTGCTTTTTTTATTGTTTTACTTTAAAATTGTTGGACTTGAAAGTGATGGCAACAAGGAGAGTTATGAGAGAGTCTGTTAGCTATTTTGCTGATATATATTAGTAAGATTAGTTTTTGGATAGAGAACAAAGTTAACAACAGCCTATTTCTTGCGTCATACTTATTAGAATTGTGAGTAGTCTTTGTCTTTTATCATATGGTAACCTAGTTGTTACATCATATAATCTTTTAATAATAATTGTGTTTTTTGTGTTTGTATCATTGCATGGAGTTTATGAGTGACTAGTTGATTTACTGCACCTTGAACTAAGACTCAGTTATTTTTTCTGTGGTATCAACACAGATGATGATGAAATCGTATATATGGCTTGAAACTGCTGATGGATCAATCCAACAAGTGGAGCAAGAGGTTGCAATGTACTGTCCCATGATATGTCACGAAGTTCTACAGAAGGGTCTAGGTGCTGGATCTTCTAAGAACTGTGCAATTTCTCTTCCACAGCGAGTCAATCCAGCCATGTTAAGCTTGATTCTCGATTACTGCAGATTTCATCAAGTACCTGGACGTTCAAATAAGGTTTACTCGATGTCTTTCAATTGGAAACGAATGGTGACGTAGATAAATATATGCCAGTTTTTCATAGAGTTTTTTATTTATTTATTACCATTTAGGAGCGTAAAGTTCATGATGAAAAATTCATCCGGATGGATACAAAGCGGCTTTGTGAGTTGGCCTCAGCCGCTGACAGTTTGCAGTTGAAACCTTTGGTTGATCTATCTAGCCGTGCACTTGCACGGATTATTGAGGGGAAAACCCCTGAAGAGATACGTGAAATATTTCATTTACCTGATGACCTTACTGAGGTATGTAGTCCTCAGTACCATCTCTTTTAAGGATGTTACATTCCCATCTGCATCTTTATTTTATTTTACTTTGGTACAACTTATCAGGAAGAGAAATTAGAGCCTCTGAAAAACTTGATGGATGATCCGCGTATCCGACTCTTGAATAGATTGTATGCTAAGAAAAGAAAGGAATTGAAAGAAAGAGAAAAACTTAAGGTTTGTCTAGCACTTTGCTCTAAGTTAGGAACTTGGTTTGTAAGATTGGGCTTTTGCAGTAGCTTTATACCTTTTTGGTATGTCTATGTCCCAGGGTAAAGAGGTTGAAGAACGAGTCGACGAGCGTTCTGTGGATGACCTTTTATCGTTTATTAATGGCAAAGGTACTTTTAGTGTCTACATATCTGTCCGCTATGCCATGCTCCTTTTTCCTTTTCTTTTCTTCTTCAAGTTGTTCAGTTCAGCGTTGGTGGCACCTCATATTAGTTCATGTATTGACCCTATTTTGATGCTTACATTACACTCTGCCATTTTTATTAGACTCGTTTCTAGTTGCTGAGGGCCTGGTATGGGATTCTCTTGGGCTATTTATTGATCATTTTCCATGTTAGCTTAGGCTTTATCGCCGAGTTGATAGGTTATTTGATACGAAAATAATATTTTGAATTTGTCTTTCGCAGATCACAAGGTGGTAAAGACTTCCAAGAACAAAAAAAAGAACAAGAAAAGGAAGGAGCATAAAAATAAGGTTTAAACTAGTTAATATCGCTCTCGGTTGGTAGAAATAAATAATCTGAGTGTGTTCCTTGTGCTTAGGATTCACATAATTTGCATTCCAAGAAACAAGGCGTCCAAATTGTTGAGGAGACTGCCTCCAGCTTGGGAGGGGTATCTAACCTACCCAGTATGGAAGATGATATTTTTTCACTGAAGACTGACTCTGAAGATGGTTATATAGATGATGGAATGGATCCAGTTTTGAAGGAAATGCTTGATAGGTAAGTATCACTTGTTAGTTAAAACTCTTCACTGTTTGGTTAACCCTATATCTAGACTCGTATCAAGTTGCACAGCCCCTTTAAATGGCGAACTTCATTTAACTACAGGGAAGTAGAGGATTTTGCTCGGAGATTGAACTCAAGTTGGGTTCTATCTTCAGGACAAGAAAGGCAGCCTGTGCACTTTTCCATAAACGGCAATGGGGCTACAAGGCGATTAACAGGTACACACACACGACAACCGTCTTTTCAGGGTTAATCTTTGCATCACAAAGGTGATGTTGAACTGAATCACTTACCATATCGAGTGTTGGATATAGCTATAGATGACTGATGGGAGATAGTTCAGTTTGCCTTCGGTTTTGAACATTGAAGGACCAGCTGCAGGACACAAATGAAGCTGATAACTCTAAAGCCCAATGGCTGGAACAGTTTTGGTGATCGATCCCACATTTAGATTGTAAGCAATTAGAGAGAGAGTGGTGTTCTTCATGGGTGTCCCTCCTGTAATATATTGCTTTGTTTCTTCTTCTTGTCATAAACCATTATCGTTGATCCGAGAGTTTAGGATGCAGTTTTGCTTCTCTTTTGATCAACCTTTGTATACCAACTTTTTAATTATTTATTGGTTACCTTTCTGTATTTTCTTAAACTAAAGAATAATTATATGAAGAAGATGAGTCCATTGTCTTTATCATCACAAAGTCTCATGAGATGAGGAGAGTAAATACCTCAAAAGCAGTTTTACAGATGTGATCAAGATCTTTGCAGCTGTATGTTCTTGTCTTCTTCTTCCTCTGTAGCTTTTCAGGTAATGCTGGTTTCGCTCACACTGCTGCTGATGGTTTTGGATGGCAAGTTGCAGAGTTTTGTGGAGTGAATCAGGAATGTTATCATGCCTAGTCCCATCCCGCTACACTGGTGGATCAGCACTGTAAAAAGCAACTCACGAGTAAGGTGAAATGCAAATTAAAGAGGAAAAATATAGTAAAAAGGGAAAGGGTTCTCTCTTGTTCAGGATCGCAGGGCTTACAGGTAAAAGAGGGAGGAGATGAGTGGTTTGATTTCTCTTTGTGATGCTTGATGAAGCCTCAGATCAATTTAAAATATGACAATGTGCCAACAGACCGAGAAGAACTGGTTCGTGAGGTTATCTCCGTTGAACTTCCACTCTGCATATCTGATTTGGAGCTACTTTGAGAGGACACAAGCCGCTGAAAGAGCATATAATAGAGTTGAGAGAGCTCTGACTTCATCCATTCTAGCTTCCCTACATTGGTTGCACACATGTATCAGTAATAAAGCATCAACTGCTGTCTGAGAAAACAGTCTCTCTATATAGTTATGGAAAAAAAGATTCTGGCTTGAACGTAGTATGGATGCGATGTAAACTGATAATCCAAGATGGCTTTTCTCTATCTTCCTGCAAATTGATCACCACCAATGTCAAATTCGAGAGAAAAAGGAAACAGGTGAAGAAGCACTGAAGCAGCAACACAAAAAAGGCTGATTTATATTACAATTCACAAATTTCATATCTTATACATACCCCTTTCTGCAGGCACAAACTTCATATCCCATCATGATTTACAAGACAATATCATTATTACAATTTTACAAATGACTGACTCATACCAAACACAGGCTAGTGATAGGACAATGAAGTATTACAAAACATCAAACACACAAAAACCATGAGCTTCCTTAATTAGTCACTAAGGGCTTCAAGCTGCTTTTGATTAATCTTTTTACAAAGGAGGGGATCTGGTTCAATGATCCAGGAGCTTGAATCTTGAAGCCATTCTTGAATAGCAGACCGAAGAGAAAGATTTGGAACCAAGCTTGTGTGAGGTAGCCTTTTGTTTGTCATTGGAGAAGTCTCGTGTCCACTATCTAACCAACAACATATAGCCTCTCTTTCATATGTAAAACCGTCTGCTGCTACCTGTGGATCCTCCATCACATCCTGCAAAGATAAGATGGTTCTCTTATGATTAATAACATTTTTTATTGTATAGTTTTCATTGATCTCTACCTGTGTAATGGGACATATGAAGTACTGAGGCAGTTCAGGGTCCTTAGAGGAAGACATTTCCTCTCCCTCAAGCTTACTCTTCAGCTTTGATACTTTGCTAAGCTCTATCATCAACTCTTCATTTTCATCTCTACGTCTTCTCAACTCTTCCATTAATAAGCTATAATTGCATTGGAGCTCTCTAATCACCATATTAGATTCGGCAATTCGTGTCTCGGACTCTGATCTCATCTTTTCAAATTGTTCTTTAGATTCTTTCAGTGCCTTCTCTGTTTCTTTCCTACGCTTCAACTCATTGAGATACCCATTTTCAGATTCTTTAGCCTACATATATGGTCATAGATAAGAGTTAGCAAAAAATTAACTACGTCCAAGGGAAAGAAACATATGAATGTACCCATTTTTCAGCTTCTTCACGCTTAGACATCTCATTGCGTGTTGCCCTTTTTGCACTTTCAGCTTCTTTGAGTGCTACTTGGATCCGAGCATCATCTTTAGCCATACTCGAACTTGGTACATGTTGGGCCCGAATTTAGCCCGTTAGCTGAACTAATGGGCTGGATATTTCAAACCATTTACGGGGCATTACGAGCCCATTAAAAAGCCATTCCTCAAACAAAAATCAAGTTAAATCATTACCTATCGACAAAAACAGGTCACGAACAAAAGACTCGGGACCTCGTTTACAAACAGCTAGCGATAAAACAGCTCCAGGAGAACGTGCAAGACTTAGTCAAGAGGAAGCTGTTGCAAATCCCGCAACTCATGGAGGAAATCTCGGAGGCTTCGCCGGGAGAAGTTGGACGTGACCTAGAGCTA